CTCGGGAAACTCGGCGTATGATTCAAGACATCGATCACGACCAAGTGCGGCGTCACACTGTTGGGCAGTCGCCTACACGAGGACGTCCGGTGGCAGCGTTGAATACTTCATGGACAGAGCGGTCGTGCCGTCGCTTTTATGTTGTGCTGTATTGAGGGCCGCGGCGGACAGCTGCCAATGGACAAGGTCGTGTCGCAGCCGGTCGCACCAGGCCACTTGCGTTGGCAATCGTTGAGCATTGACGCGAGGTGTGTGGGGTGATGGCGCTGTCATTGCTTGAGTATGGGGTACAGCTCACCGACCCCGCCGCGCCCTAGCTGGCTCACTCCCATCACGCTGAACAACGACAGTTCTGCAAGGGCATCCAGGCGTGTCTTGAATGGGATGAAATGTCGGCGCGAGCGAGGCGACAGAGAAACACTTGATGGTTTGACCAGTCTGCAGGATGCGACTGGGCGAAGTGTCAGTGGTTGGAACGACAAGGGCAGGCATGGATTGCGTGATGGCAAGTTGTGCGCGCGGGTCGTCGTTGGGACAACCGTCCTCCACGAGCGTGCTCAGCGTGCTGTGGCGTTGGTGAAAACGGCTGCCCACTTGCGCGCTTCTTGGAGCCCGTCGTTGCCGCGACACTCAAACACAAAGAGGTGCATGTGGTTCCGAGAGTCGACGAACTGCATGCGAACGCACGGCGAGTCGTCCGTGTTGTCCATCACGAACGAATGCACGCACTTTAAGTCGAGTCGCAGCACGGGTTTCGATCGATTCGCGTCCAAGTACACGACAAGGTGGTTGTCGTCGAACACACCCATAAAGAACGCGTCGCCCCCATGTCTTGTCGAGTCGCCCATGGAGCTCAGAAACCCCGCCGTGCGTCCCGACATGCGGCATGGTACGGGCGCGCAAGACCACCGGACCTCCGCCGTCAACAAACTCGTCGAAGCACTGTCGTTGCAATACACGACACTGGGTTTGCCTGGTTTGAGAAACACGGGATGGCGCGCCTCATGGCACGCACGGGGGGCGGCGACGTGGAGAGGACCTGTCATTTGGCCAAGAAATTTGTACTTTTTCCAAAGCGTGACCCCCACGATCGTGACGACGACCGTCGTGTGCTTCATGGCCACACCTGGCACGAAAAACGACACGTGATACCACTCGACGACATCGTGGTGGTACGGCTGATGGGGGGTTTGAAATGTGCATATCGAGAGTGACGTCGGGTCCTCGATGACTTGAACATGCAAAAAGCACGCGATTGGGCTCGGATTCGTCGACTGCACGTGCTCCACGACCCAATGCTCGAGTCGATAGCACACAACCGATGGCTCACACCCACGACCGTGCGGCACAGGCTCTGCGTCTGCCCATGTCGTCTGCACTGTTGAATCGATTTGGATCCTTGTTTGCAACGAAGTGCTCTGGCGGTGGGACAACCACGTCGCTGCGCGAAGCGCAGTCAACTTTGCTCGTTGTATTTTCTGCTGCAGGTACGATTTCCATCGGTGCTGGATCGACACAACAGCGTGTTGGATACGTCTTTTGGTGAGTTTGTCCAGCGCCACCCATCGGCCGTGCTCGTTCGCATGGCGAAATCGAGTCCACCATACTTGAAACTTTGACGTCACTGCTTTCAATGGGCTTACGGGTGGTCCTGGCTTCGACATCACTGCTTTGAATGGGCGTAGGGGTGGTCCTGGCAACGGGCGACGTCGTGGCTCGATCGGCTGCTTGACTGCTTGACAATGACACCACGTGCGCCACCACCGTTGGATTAAAGTCGCGGCGAAGTTTTCATTTGTCGTGGTTGAGGGGAGTTGACATGTAATGGTAGCAAGGACAGTCGCAGTAGCATTCGTGACTTCAGGTAGATGGCTCATTTCATGTCGCTTTGTGCTGTCCAACGGAGTCATACTGATCGACGCACCTGCCTGCGGTGTGGGCTTGTGACTTCGGGAATTCAGCCAAAGGTCACGATATGCTCGGAGTTTTTCCTGTTTCTTGGCATCCAGGTGGCGTTGGCGGTGACCTTTCCAGGCCTTCGCGATACGTCGGACGGCAGCTTTCTTGATGGAAGGTCTCGGTGGCTGCAGAGAAATCCAAGCAGTCACAGTTGCAGATCGGGGCTGCGCTTCCACAACTTCACTGCCTCGCGCACAAGGGAGATGGTGTGGCACCAACACACTTTCATACGTCATGATGCGGTCCACGACGCAATGCGGAACATGGTCAAGTCGAATTGCCAATGGAGCCCAAGAGCTTGACATCGAAGTTGCACGAAGCAGCAGCGGTGGCAAGGCATTTGGATTTTCCCGCCGTTCGCTTGGAATATGCTGTCCCTGGATCGTCTTCCGTGCACGCCATCGCCGTTGCATCGTCGCAATGGCCACGACAGTCGTCAACCGGACGCAACTCGTCCACGGCTGCTGGATGAAGCAAGGGGTGTTGGCGAAAGACCGAATTTGAACAGGTGGCGTGACGGATGCGGCTTGCATTGGAGTCGCATCCCACTTCAGGAGTGGCACGAATTGTTCCGCGTTCGCCCATTGCGCGTGCATGGCGACGACCTGCATGTGCACGTCTGCTTCGCCCTTCAATGTTCGGGCAGCTCGCCATTGTCGCGGCGACGGCGCCATTGCGTTAAACTGACCAACTTGAACGTTTGCACGATTGGGGGGATCCAATGGCGCCAGTATTGGACAACAAGCGCGCTCAAATTCCATTGTCGAGCAGTCGGCAACCATCTTGAGCAGGTAGTTTGGACCATGTTTTGTGCGAAAGGCATGCGGAAACCAGAGCGTATCGCGCCACATTTCAATCGCTTCGACTGTTGCCACGGACACCTGAATCATAGATTGCATCCACACTTCATTGTCCATTGCCGCATGTAGTTCGCGGGCTTGCTCGAGCAATTCTTCACGATACTGAATGCAGTGTAAAACACGCAGCGTGCACTGAAAATGCACCGTGAGCAACTGGACTTGGTGCACTAAGCTTGGAATACATCCCCCGTGCAATACAAGAAACGAGTCGCGATCGACATGGGGAATCTTCAACTCCTCCCACAGCGTCTCCATTCGCACCCTCAACCGATGCTTGATCGCATCGAGTTCGTTCACGTCAAACTCCAGTGCAAGGTTGCGACTTTGGTCAAGGAGCTGCCTACATCGCAGGAGCACGTGCGCGGGACTTTTCCGTGACACACACAATTTCCGTGGCAGTTGTTCGATCCACTTGTACGCCCCTGTCGGTTTGGCCGCTTGAAGTCGTCGGGGCAACCCAGGGTGATTTCTCAAGACTTTCTCGACATGGTGGCTACGAGGTTGACTTGATGATGCACCTCGTTGACTGGCGTTCATCGTTCGTGACGTATTGGGCTTCATTGCCGGCAAGGGGTCGCCAGTTTTCTGTCGGCGTGATGCTTCTTCCGTCATTCCTGCCACCTTGCTCGCATCGTCGTGCGCCTTTTCAACTCGAGATATCCGGATAATCGTGGAGAAATCCCGGATAATCTGGCGGGAATGCCTCGCCAAACTCGCTTTCCTCTGTCCCATAAGGTCGTCATGAACGCGCCGTTCCACGACGATGCCATGCTGGACGACGCAATGCTCGTCGATGCCTTGAATTCTATTGAGTACATGAATGGAATTACCAAAGACGCAGCACCTGTCGAAGGTAGCGCCATCATGAGCACAGAAGGTGACCATCAGGCGTTCGAAGATGAACCCAATTCCGCATTCCATGCGGCCACAGACGCACCATTATCGGCGGTGGAAGGCCAAACGACGTTGTCGCGCGTAGAGAACACAGACAAAGTAGTGCCCGTTGGGGAGACTTCACCCACTGGCCCAACTGCCGCATCGACGATCCCTGTCTCTCGGACGCCTGTGGTTGATTCGAGTTCAGTCACGACACCTGCCTGCACTCAATCGATGCAACTCGAAGCAGCATCGACCGGTGCAGGCAGCACGCAGCATTCAGGTTCGTCGGCGTTTCCATACAAGCAAATCGTCGTGACCAAGGAAAGCGGACTGCTGGGATTTGGCGTACTACCCGTCCGTGGGGTTTGTGGAGTTCAAGTGTCGACGTTGCAGCCCGATTCAAGTGCCGCTAAGGCGGGTTTACGTGTTGGTGATGTGCTGCTCAAACTGGACGACACGGACGTGAGCAAAATGGCAATGCCAGCGATCATTCAGATCCTTCAGGCCGTGGTCACGGGCAAGCCACTACACATCTCGCTGTTCAGGCCGTCCGTGGCAGTGCCAACGACTGCTCCAATTAGCATGTCCAAGCTTCAACACAAAGCAGAGTTCAAATCATATTATTGTTGCTTCGAGTGCAAATACTGTGCAGCAGAAGGTGGTTTGAGCCCAAAGTATTGAGATACTTGATTGCCTTGCCTCAAG